CCGGTGGGATTGGGAGGCGGCGATTTGGGCGATGGGATTGGGAGGTGGCGCCGACGGGATTGGGAGGCGGGATTGGGAGGCGGCGATTTGGGCGTCAAGGGTTGGGAGGTGGGATTGGGAGGCAGCGGCTCCTGGCGGCGCCTGGCGGCGGAGCTGTGGTGGCGGCGGAGCTATGGTGGCATGCGGTGCCTACGTGAGTGGAAAGGGGAAGGGAGCAAGAGACGTACGAAGCGTTTTCTCGATAAAAAAATGCTTAGCCTTTTAGCTCCCGCGCACAGTACTGTTTTGGCGCGCGGTCTCCCGCCCACAGCGCGTACCCCTTCGCCGACACTTCGATAGTTGTTTAGGTAGGCTAGGATGACACTTTTTTGGTCTAAAAACTTTCACCGACACTTTATGTGTTGGAAGGAGAAATGCCGACATATAAGCTGTAGCCTTATATTACTATTGCCGACACTTTAAATGACGCTAAAAAGGTAAAGAATTGCCAACACATTACTCATTGGGAAAACCCTTGATTTACCAACACATGATTGTAGGGAAAAGTGGATCATGGTGTAGTGAACGTACCATCAATGGAGAAGATGGGACGATAGTGCCTAAAGGTCTCGACACACTAAGGGAAGCACCAGAAAACACAGAAGAATACTTGCCTCCCATCCTTCCAAGCATTTGGTTTTGGTATGTACTCATAATGCATGCCTGGATTCACCGCTTTGATTGCATTGAAAAGTACCGGCAGCTGCTCATACCCATCCTCCCAGTCCCCATATATCATCTTCCACGCTCGCTGCTTAGCCTTCCAAGCTTTACCATAAGTTATCACAAAACCTCCATGCAACGCCTTAACGGTCCTGATAATTGTCCTAACCTTCATGTTGGGTTCTCCCTGCAATATTCCCATCAACCGCTTGGCAATGAGGGTAGATGTCAACTATCGATGCCTCGGTGTCAGCACATGGTCAACACAATTGTGTGGCCCGACAACTTTTGTGATCTTCCACTTTCCGGTGACCTTTTGCTTCCTTGCACAAACCCTCCATGGACAGCGTTCCTTGTCACACACAACTATGTAACAGCGCTCCGCATACGAATGCAAGACCTTGTAAGGTCTCTTTTGTATCACTGCAAACGCCTGCAACCACCTCTTCAATGCAGGGAGGTCCTTAAATACCCTCCCATTCTCAATTACCATGTTAGGGCGGGCCTCAGGAGCTTCTAGGAGCTCATAATCATGTCCTTCTGCACACGCCTGATTGGAATGAGCAAGATCGCTAAACTCATAAACTCTTGGATCACGGCGGCTGAGAAAGATACGCCTCACCATCTCAACATCACTCTCTGTCAGCTCTCCAACAGGGCGATCATCATCAGAATCAAGGGCCCTTGCCATCTCATATGGCTCTGAATCATTCATAATTTCAACACTATTGGAGCCACGGAATCCATCTCCACAGTGCACTTGCGCAGCAACAGGGGGCAAATCCATATTCTTAGGAATGTCACCTGCAACATAAGTAGAGAAATGAGGAAAGAATGAAAGAAATGGATGTAAGGAAGGGGGTAAGCTCCGAATAACTATGTGGATAAGACACTTACTTGGATGATTCTGTGTCAAAGGGATCTCATGAGGAGGATCTGCCACAACATCATGAGTCTGACAAGCATCTCCAACTACCTGATTGGGGGCAGATTGAGCATCGGGAATCATAGGTGCAACCTCCATATCCATATCAGGTTCCGGGATAGGAGGGTCGAAGTGTGCCTGCTGACCCATTGGTGGGGAAAACCCATGAGGGATGGGATCAACTAATACCCGATGCACAACCACATCTAAACATTACAGCTGGCTCTTCATAGCCAATCTCACATAGTTCTCCCACTCATCCGCACACCCAATTGGGATCATTCGCCAGAGGATGTTGGGAGGAGAACCTAGGTGCAGTACACCCTCAACTGCAATGCCATCATCATCATCTCCAAGGCAATGGAGCTCCTCCCGAGCCCTTGCAACCATCTCACTAAATGAAGGCCTATCATTGAATAGCACAGGCACGCTTTGCATGTCAACAAACTCAACATATCCATAGCGATCGCATTCAACGGTGCCTCCATGATATATGGTCACTAGGTTGTCCATCTAGTTCAAACACATAACGAAACACATGTCCTTTAGTCTAAATTAGACGATAGATAGTACCTAACAAGTACTTTCTAACTACAAATTAAGTAAATAAGATAATAACTACGTATATATACAGTGTACTCACAAAATAGCTAGGGATGGAAGCCGAGGGCGCGGGCGGGGACGGCCGCCGAGGGCGCGGGTGCGGCTAGGGATGGCCGCCGAGGGCGCGGGCGTGGGCAGGGACGGCCGCCGAGGGCACGGGCGCGGGGATGGCCGCCGAGGGCGCGGGCGGTTACGGCCGCTGAGGGCGCGGGCGCGAGGCCAGCGAGGGCGAGGACGACCGCTAAGGGCGCGGGCGTGGGCACGGGCGGGGACGGCCAGCGCGGGGGCGAGGGCAGCGGTGACGGCGGCTCGGTAGGGAGAAAGAGAGAGGAAGAGAGAAAGGGAGGGCCCATATGTAAGAGGGGGCTTGGCGCCAGGATTGTTGGCGTCGAGCTCGGCGCCATGTCAGCATCCACGCCGCCAACGTGGCCCTGACCTCGGCGCCAACAACGATGGCGCCGAGAAGTGTAAGCTCGGTGCCAGCAACGATAGCGCCGATCTAAGGGTCCAAATTTTGAAATCATACCTCAAGGGGCATATTTATGAAAAATTTTCAAAAAAAGGCTAAAATATAAAAAATTCAGGCTCACGTCCGTCACCAAGGAGAGCCCGGGCAGGCGCCAAGGGTCGCCAGGCCCTGGGTCCGCCCGTGTATAGTAGGATATTGGTCATCACAGAAGTACCTCTTACAACAATCACGTTTACAGAAACAGTTTTTATTGATGCTAGTGGATTTTTCATTGCGGTTCATGAAGAAAAGGCACCAGTATAAATAGAATTATGGGCCGATGGTTATGAACCGCCTGTTTAAATACATTTCTGCTAGCGGTTCTCTTATGCCAACCGCCAGTACAAATCTTCTATTTACACCGGCAGTTCTGTTATGCCTACCGCCAATGTATACCATATTTAAACTAGCGGTAGGCCTAGAAGAACCAGCAGTATAAGTACATGATTTGTACTTTATACTAGAGATTTTCTTAAGGTTACCCGCTAAAAGAAATATATTTACACTCGCAGTTTTCTTAATCTGGCACTAGTGTAAAACTAATTTATTGTTTTTGAATTTTTGAAATAACCTCGGATGGAGAAATTAGCTTAATAAAAGTTTTAGTACTCTGCTAAAAGATCTGCAACTTTATAGTTGATCACTTTCTTATTTAAAATCAATTAGGGCTCATAATTTATGTTTTAATATTAGTGATTTTGAAATTTCATTAGTTGAAATGTACACATGATCTCAGATGGATAAATGACATAAACCAAACCTTTTTATTTGAATTTGTTTAGAGTCTCAAATATACATTAAAATATTTACTAAAGTGAATACAAAAGAAATGTATCTGGTACTTAAACACATGTGACTTTGAGTCGTAGTGGTTAACGAAAGAATGCACGATGCCTCAGGTTGTGAGTTTGATACCAGGCAACCGCCTGCGCGCGCGTGTCTCACGCAAAAATTGTGTGACTTGCGACCATGTGGGCAAGCTGGTAGGCCTCTACGTATTAATTTTTGTTGCTATTTTTTGCCCGATTTATATATTCTGAAAAATGGTTTATATCAGCGGTTTGTGTAAGCATGCTACCAGTGTGAATCAATCTGCAATGGTCAATTTTAGTAAAACCATTAGTGTAAATATTTACATAGATGGTTATTAAGTGACGTCAGAGAAATGCACTGATTTAACTTTCACGCTGGTGGTTCACTGGTTCATAAAAAACACCAGTATATAAACAAAAAAATACCGCAAGTACAAATGTTTTATGTACTAGTGAATTTAGATTTATGAGTAGCACATGGACAACAAACAGAACCATAAGAAAGGCAAAAAAACATTACCAGAAAAATCTCTTTCTCACTAGAAAAATTCTCTCATGCATTCAGTTCGTGCCAAGAACTAGCAGAAAAATACAGGGTCAAATACAGGGCGCGTACAACATGCTCCCAAGTGCGTTCTGCATATGCATATTGTTATTTTTGCATAAAACTCCTCCGTATGCAGCATTTAAGGAGGAGAGAGATGGAAGCTGTTGTCTCGCAAGCATACTGACTGAACATAGTATTTGGAGTTCAAGTTCATTAGACACGAATTTTTGGGTGCAAATTCAGAGTGTAAGTAGGATTTTTCTAGAGCAGCAAGGCAAAAGGACAGGTACGGCGGATGGGCTGTTGGCAAGGTTCACTTTACCGGCAACAAAAAAATACCGGAGGTTTAATCGGATTTATTGGAAAGTTTCTCGGTCAAAAATAAAACAAAAAATACTTAATTTCTCTAGAAAATTACATAAGTTCTGTCGAAAGCATTGAACATCAAGAACTAGCACATGACAGTATTGATATAGGAGAGTATCACACGTTCATATAGGTGGACTAGTGAAAATTGGAATATCGGTGATAAATAAATTTTACCGGACCTCAGCGATAAACGGAATTATCAGGTTTATCGAAACTTTATCGCCGATAAAATTTTCACTGGCTGTTGGCAAGGCAAAAGGACTGAGCGTCTGAGCCGGTGAGACCTCGGAAGGAAAAACAGAAGGGATGTGGCTGTGGCACTATACCACAGCCCAAAAATAGTAAGAGCATAAACAAAAGGTTTTAGCACTGTCAATTAAATATAACTTGTATACCTTTTTTTTCATAGATTTACTGAGGATGGAAAGAGTACATATAGCATGCATAAACTGAACTTTTACTACTAAATTGGAGTACATAGTATAGTAGTACTATGGTGCACAGCACCGCGTGTATATTCAGACAGATGTTATCTCAGTAAATACTGATGTCTATCATGATTTCTTTTGGCCTTGTCAGGAGGTCTACCTTCTTGAGGGCATCGTTAGCATTTTTTATGCCAACAGTTTCCAGTCCCGTAGTTTCTGAGCTTGGCGGCCAGGCACCATTCTTGTCCCACAGGTACAAGCAGTAAGAGATTTTGTTCCCAAAGAGGCTGGTGAACACCTGGCAGATCGGCTTGAGGCGTAGCGCTTCAGATATCATCACCACAAGTGAGGCAGTAGCCATCTTGGCATCCTCTTCAGGTGTCGTCGACGGGTCATATCCTGAAAACATCTGCACAGCTCGTCTGGCCGCATCCTTGCCTAGAGGCACGGTTGGAAGCTTTCTATGCCCCTCACCGTTTTTACCTCCTAGAAGGGATGTGTAATCCTCTGAAAATGGAAGAACTGTACAGTCAGGAAAAAGAGTGTTGTAGCCGGGGAAGCAGTTCCAGTGATTCGTCCTGTTCTTGAATGCCGCCAGGTAGATGTTCGAATCGGCAGAAGCAAGTGTCGTCCGGTGACCACCGGCGGTGAGGTGGACATTGATCCACCTGCAGGGTGGGCTTCCTGGTGCTGCATCTTTTGGTGCAAGATATGGGTGGCCTCCGACATAAAGTTGTGGTTTGTTGTCACTGAGAATCGCTCGCATGTGGTGGAGCAGGTCTTCCATCGGCTGCTTGTCGACGTTCAAGAAGATGTCCATGCCCTCCGCCTCATATCTCGATCTTGCATGGGCTACGAGGAATAAGCCCAGCAGCGACAGCAGTAGAGCCGTTGCATTTTGTGGACGCTCCATCATCGATCTCTGCTGTATGTTCACCTCTCTAATGGTCTATTGGTAAACCTTTTGAGTTGCTGTGAGGATGTTAAAGTGTATGATCGAAACATCCTTTATAGTACCACATAACACATATTTCATCAAAGTTGGTTTTTGCTGAACCCTCTCAAAGATTGTTGGCACCCCCTCCCCCACCGTCACTGGCTGGAGAGAAGGCAAACAAAAAGACTGTGGCCTAGAAAGGAACAAAGGAAAGGAATAGCTAACAGAATTGAGTCCACACATAGCTATGACCGGAAACAATTAGTTATATACTAGAATACATGCACGGCACATGCATTCTGTGCATGTCTACCAAAAAAGTTTTTTTCACAGTGAAAATATATATAACAATGAAATTTTCGAGAACAAACTTTATAATGTATACAAAACTAGCAACATGCATGGCTCACACAAATAGTGTGGGTACCTAGCCTGACTTGGAGTTTTTTACTCCAAAAGTTTATTTGCAGTTGCAAATGATGTCGTGTATTTGCTTTTAATTGTTGTTTCTTCATGCATCCAATGTATCCATGAAGCACGGACCCAATATTGTTCTACTACCTCTCCTGTGACACAACGACGAGACCATATGTTATCCAAGTAATCAGAATGTAAAACGGTTAAGTTTTAGTCATACATCAACTTTTTGATCGAAATCTTCTTCCGTATAAATCTCCTTGCCCCTTATTCTTGGGAAAGGATACGTGGCCTCCACATATGGGCCTGATTCTGATAATTCTTCTTCTTTTGTCGTCACCATCTTATGCTTTGACACCCAATGTGCCCATGTTCCAAGACCTGTACATCAAGGGCTAAGAACAGTTAGCCCTTGATGTACAAGTCTTGAAACAAGAGCATTGGGAAATGATCTTAGGAACTAAACAAATTAACCCATGATGCTGGTAATGAGGCATGGGATCCTAAGGCCATCGTAAGGTCATCGTCATCACCAGCGTCGTGGCATATCATTGTGAGAGTGAACATAGTTATTGCACATGACAATTATACATAGTGTTTATTCGCGTCAACTTGCTACTGCAAAGTTGAGTTAAAGCCATAAAAATTCTGGAGCGATCTTTTCAGAGAACTGACACTTTATTTTGTTTTTCATAAATTTATTTACATGATAGCTAGCTCGCATTAAGATGGTGATAGATTCAGGAAAATTGGAACTCCGTGGGTAGAAGCCTTATCACGCAACAGTTTCAATTCTACAATTGGTATTGCTATGGCAACAGTACAAAAAATCCCTTCTTTTCAGAAATCAAACATGAGAAAATTCAAGACCATGCATGCTCGGTGAACTTGAATAACTCTATCTTGTGCCAGAATTATGTATCCACTCTGAAGATTACATGCTACTGTGTCGTGCAGTGAAGACGGGGAGTGCTTGAGTCGAACGAAAAAACTGAAGAAAAATACACGTTTTTTTTAAACTGACGTTATGGTACAGAGAGATAGGCTTTTATTGTGTCAGCCTTGGCCACTAGTGTAAAAGATATACATCCTGCAAGACAAAAATAGAAACAGTAAAGTACAACTACTCAACTAGAACAAAAGTTTGAAGTATACGATATCAAAGTATAACGGACGTTGCTAGTGTTACCTCGGTTTTCACTATGATATATATGCTTTCTTGATTCCGTGCAACTTTGGAGTGACTTCTGCATGCAGATGCGCTCATTGGGGGACTGCTTAGTGCAGAGAAGCCCAATGTTTAGGACTGAAAGCAAACACTCCAAGCTTTTCTCCTTCATGGCCAATGAACTTTCTGGAGATAAGTGTAGTTGCTCTTCTAGTAGTTCAGGATCTATTATCTGTGGTATACTGTCAGGAAAGTTCATCTCAACAAATTTTGTAATGTTCATATCACCATTGAACATATCATCAGTTGGCCTCCTTCGCAAAAATACTTCAAGTAGAACAATCCCGAAGCTGTAAACATCCCCAGCACTCGAAACTGCTCCACCTGCAGCACACTCTGCAGATTGCATGAAAGAATTGTTTACTCCAATGATAAACGAGCATGAAAACATTACACTGCATGAGACTTGGATTACCTGGAGGAATATACCCATAATAGAGACTGAATCCGGCATTAAATAAGTGGATGATGATGCTGCAGAGTCAAACTTGAACCTTGCAAGACCAAAGTCTCCAACATGTGCTGTCATATTGTCATCCAAAAGAATGTTGCTAGGCTTCAGATCACAATGGAGAATGGTTCCTTGGTTGCCATGGTGGAGGTACTCCAATGCATCTGCCACATCCACTGCAATACTTAACCTTTGAGCCATTGTGATGTGGCTTCGAGTTGATGTGTTCCCATCACATTGAGTCGAGTACAGTAGCTCATGCAAGTCACCTTGTGTCATGAACTCATAGACTAAAGCTTTGAATTCATTTCCATTGGAATCAATACTAGAGCACGCAGTGAGTATAGGAACTAGATTTCGATGCCGCATCTTTCGTAGAGCGTTACATTCTGCAATGAAGCTCTTTTGTGCCCCCCATGTCTCTAGGCGAAAAACTTTGACAGCAACCATGGTTCTGTCTTGGAAGAGTTCTCCTTTATACACGGAAGAATATCTTCCTTTGCCAATCAAATTGGATGATGAGAACCCACATGTTGCTTGGGCGAGATCGTGGTAAGAAACTTTGGGAAACTTGCTACCGAATGATGGCAAAGATAACATATTTCTCTTTTGTTTTCCTCTCCAGACCACCAATGCAGTTATGACTATAGCAACTAACAAAATGCTGGATAAAGGAATCACCACTTTTTGTACAATGGAATGCCTCTGCTTACTTGAATTAGCAGGCATGACATGGCATGCGAGTAGGTGTAGCTCCAATGGCCCACCACAAAGCCCTGGATTTCCATCAATCCTCACAGCAGTCACGTTACTGAATATTCCTTTCAATGGGACCTCACCAATGATGTTGTTGAATGACAACTGCAAGTAGCTTTTAAGTGTATGATCAAGTTTTATTATTTATTAGCAACAAGGTAGCACCATAGTTCCCATAACACATGATCATTATACAAGAACAATAAATAGCTCAAAGACAACTTAGTTAAGCATAATTAAACAAGTGCTCATCTTTGGCATAAGAATCCCTTGGCCGCTCGTGACCGTGAGCACGGCTGATATATCAGTTTATTAAACTCTACGCAGAGGTGTACACTTTCACTGTGAGTCATGATTCTCAAATGCCCGAGTTAGCTAGGCCCAAAACACAGAGAACCATATAAAGCCACTCAAAAGTTCGTCTAACCGGGAAGGGCCGCAGGGTCATCGGATATAGGAACCCCCCTTCCAAAAATAAAAGGCCGCTTCCATAGCTAGGCTCAACAAGACAGAGGCTGTCCTATACCCAACTCGCAGTATCCTCTAAGCCGGCTAGAAAAGGTCTTCTAAGCAACTAGAACCAGAGCCATGTAGCCCTCACATATGTACTGTAAGTCCCGGATGATCACTTACAAATGAGTCCTCCTGGAGAGGGAATTTAACCCTCCTGTTGTTGCTAACAAGTAATCTTTTATAGTTTATAGCTCAATTATTAATCAAGTATCAAGATCATGGTTATTGTTTAGCGCTAGCATAACACTACCCAAATGCATAAATCCAGGTTTCAAGGTATTCAAGATCAAATTCTAGGATTTCCTACATAGGATAACAAAGTGGACACATGCAAATGAATTTTAGTGTATCTCATGAATAGGACAACAAGGAAGGTCCCAAGCTATACTTGCCTTAAACTTAGATCCTTCTTCAAATCCCAAAACTTCGTAGAATTGCTTCTTGGTCTCCAACTTCCTTTAAATCACCAACGCAAAACTTACCGACTGAGACCGATCACAAAGCACCACACAAGCATCCGAACAAACATGCATTGCAAACATAGTAGATTAGAACAATATACCAATCAATAAAAAGGTTTGAAAACCAACATACGCATTGCTACGATCACACAGACGGGAGAAACACTCTAACCGGAACTACGATGAACAAGATACGGGAGTTTTATATTATAAAAGAAAAGACTAGGCGCATGGTTTGCTTTTAATTACATAGGATCATGTGCAGAATATAACTTAGTCAATTTATATATTTTTTTAATTAAAACACCGAGTTCAGTCTAGTCATATTTTATTTTGAAGAATCGTCATAAGCAAACAAACATTATTTATGATAAGAATTTAAACGAGATTCATGCCTAACATGTTTAGACCAAGCAGGGTATAAATTAAATATATTCATGTTCTAATAAATCAAATTAACATTTGATATATAAAAGGGGGACGTTAAACCTATATTGTTTTTATTATAAAACTAGTTGCGTGTAGATTAATAAAATTATTATTTGATTATATAAACACTTAAATAGATAACATGGTGAACGTACAGACTATCGGGTATGTCACGTCTTTAGGAAACTAACACAGAAAGAAAGGACTAAATAAAACAAAGCTAAGATGAGAATACGGCCAGATTATACACAAGAGTGGTTGTTTCTGCATGGCGTAGTGCATGGATGAAGGTACTGGCTTGTGTGTATACAAGCATGCATGGCGCTGAGTTGGAAGCATGCATATGTGCTTGCTAGGCAACGGGTTGAGCAGTATATGGATGGATAGCTTGCTTGGTACAGACACTCGACCAAGCCGAGGCAAGATGCAATTCACACGTGATGGACGAGGGAGACATGAACGTGTGCCTGGAGTTCTCACCGATCAAGTTTGATAATGAATCCGACGATCCACGGCACAAAGGCAGAATCGACGGGCGTGGCGGCGGTTCACAAGATAGCGAACAAAGACGATGGAATCAGCAATGACCGGACGTGGTTGAGCAGTCTTGGAGCGCGTAGGTCCCACTGCGAGCGGACGACGACGACGAGGCACGGAGCAGCTCAGAGGCAGGGCGGCGAAGGTACTCCTTGGACAGCTTTGGTCGGGCATGGCGGTTAGG